TTTAGTAATTATCTCAAGTGTTATTATTCTTATCCATTTTCCTTATACCTTCTATTCTTATCACGGGTATGTTTCACGAAGTCAACAGGATGTGTGTTGGACTTGTGCTCCTACCTAATTTTTAGAATGGTACATTTAATTTATAATAAAATTTATAAGTTGACCTGTAAAGTATCATTTAGCTAACGAGTCGATGTTAAGTTAAAAAACTTATTTATGGAATTTTGGTTTATAAAAATTTGTATTTGTATGTAAGGATGCATCAAAGAAAAAATTCAATAGTATTGTCTAGCTCTGTGGGCAATAAAAATGATTATATAAAATGACTCAATATTTTATAATCAATATTTTTTTACGTTAAGCGAATGTTGAGAGATTGCCCGATATTTTATGCTTGAGCTCTTGCACTAACGGATACAGGATTTAATTTTGGGAAATTCAGACCGAAAGATATTTTTTTGTATGTATATATTAGGACAATTACTTCGTAAGAAAGGAAGAAACTAACTACCCATATGAAATGGTGTTTAAATGATTCTTTAAGTCCTCTTAATTGTAATTAAGCAAACAATAATACTTTTAGAGATAATTTTTTTTCATAAAACATGGTTATATTTTACTATTTTGGTGGGGGGAGGGGAGAAGGGAGACGTCAGCCCTAAAGCCCCTCCCCCCTCCTAGATTCGTATGTGAGCTGTTGCCATTGGGCTCGTTCTGCACTTGAGTGAAAATAATATCAGATCCAATTTATTAATTTATAAAGCCAAAAAATAAATTGATCTGACTTATATAACATATCCTAAAGCAACATAAGTTCATTTTTGTTTTTGTTTTATAGCCCAGAAGACTGCTGAGGCGCTGGCCAAGAGACTTATTGCATTGAGCTACTTGCTGTATTATCTTTTTTTGTGTTATTATGCTATCTTATTTTCATTTTACTAGTATTTTTTTTTTCTCATTTATTTGTTTTGTTATTACTATTCTTTTTTTTTTTGCTATCATTTACTCTCCTTGATATCATATTTGCTGAATATCGAAGTAGATGGCAAATTTATCGTGAGCTTGGAATATGTGTAACTAATAAATAAATAACACTTACAACATACTTTTTTAATTAAAATATATATAAGTTATTATATAACTTATGATACAAGCTATTTCACAATTATTATTAAAGATTTAAAATAGATCTGATATATAAAAATATCCATAAATAAAAATTATTTATTTCTATAGATCTTTTGCATTGTAATTTCCTTTTTCCTTTCTGAACCCAAACAGAAAGTCTATCTAGATAAAAATGGAATATTCAAATAAAATTTAAAGGTTTTTTTTTTTTAAATGAATATTGGAATAATAGCTTTAATAAAAATTGTATTGAACGTTTGTAGCGGTTATAGAAATTTCAATCTATTGTTTAAGGAATAATGAAGAAAATAAAAAGTAATATGAATGCAAATATAAATTAAAAGATTGCTGTGGAAGCAATATTACGTAATTAATATTTGGTAGATCAGCATTTATCTATTTATAAATAGGTATAGACAAAACAGTTCAGTACTTTATTCTCCTCTAATTGACAACAGATTTTATTTTTTTAGGTTTAGTGTTATTAATAAAACTTTATGAAAACAATGTGTATAAAAATAAAAATCTCTACAAATGGGAGAGATTTACTATAAAATACTAAATCTCAAAGTGTTAGAGAGAGACGAAAAAAAAACTGGGAAGCCATGAGGTTGCTGGCTCGGGAAAGAGAAGTTTGGTTTGCCTGGACAGAGGGACCTCCACGCTAAAGGCTCCAAGGAGGAAGAGAAAGAAGAAGAAGGTTTAGTGTTATCAATAAAACTTTATGGAAACAATGTGTTTAAAAATAAAAATGTAAATGCTATTTTGCTAAAAATCTCCGAAAGTTCATCAACGATTATTTTGAAATTTTGATACTTTGTTGCAATAAAATTCAGAAATTTTGCTGTACAAATTTCTTTACCATCAAAGGCCTTTCGTTTCGAAATGGTGGCCGGAATATTTGTATCGCTATAGACTCAAGCGTCAAAACGACTGTAACGATTTTAATGAAACTTGGCCTAAGTTTCCTGCTTGAAACCCTTTTTATTCCTTTACATACTTTCCCGAAAAGAGATTGACAAAAAAAATATCGATGGATTCAGAATTTTATTTGCGAAGAATTAACAACGTACACTCATGGTTCTGAACTGTTTGGTGTTGTAAGTATATATAAAGCTGAAAAACACAAGACTCTGAAGGTAAATATAATGCAGTATATTCTCGGATACACAATAAACAAATGTATATGAGTAGAAAAAAAATGTCGTAGCGGAAACTCAAAAATATTAGGACGTTTTTAATTTGTCCTTTAATTGTGGCTTGATGCTACAGGATTGAAATTCAATTTTACAGAAAAAGACGTTATCTTCCTGAATATTCCATGTGTGAAAATAAATGGATTATACAGGAAGAAAACGTCTTTTTTTGTTAAAAAAAAAAAAAATTCTCAGAAAAACGAAAATAACATTCAATATGGTAATTTAGGAGAGGAGATAATTAAAACTTGAAAATGGCCCTAGTGTTGGCCGAAACGTTTTCTAGATAAAATGAAAAATAAATAAAATGTTGGTGGAATAACGGCCTTAATTTATTTAAATGAAAACATCAAGAAACCAAATCTAGATATAATGAACAGAATAGAAAAAAAAAATGTTGGAAATAAATTCATATATGTTTTTCTAAAATTTTCAATAATGACTATTATCTAATTTGGACCACTGGCCGTACACTAGTTATAGTAATTATGTGACTGTATATTCTAGTGATTGATTGTATTATAAATTAATTTAAACTAAATAGATTTAACTAATTTAATTTTTTCGTTCACATATTTAGAAAATGTTACTCTCGTCATTTCATAAGAAGGTAGGCTTTCAAAAACTGTCGTTTCTTTTTTTTGTAATTATAAATATTATATACTGCTGTACTAAATCAACTCGGTCCTCGGGAGACCAGAAGTTGTGGGCACGAATTCCTCCCATTAGCCATAATCCACATCCACAAACGATTGAAAAAAGAACTGCAGATGTGGCCCTAATAAAAATACCCCAAGCCCATTATGACGATCGAGCCGGCTGTGATCACTTCCTATATGGGAGATAGCTCGTAAAGTGTAGCTTATAGTCTCGGTGCTGTCATGACAGATTTTTTACTGACACTCCGATAAATTTTTCTTCCTCGTTTGACCTTACTCTAGATTTCGAGACAAAAGATTTCTGGGACATTTAGTCCTCTAAATTATAATGAATGAATAGCATAAAAATGGTGTAAAATGACAGTCAAGATGTAATTAAATTACAGAATTGTGTACTCTTAAAATGAAAATAAAGGATAAAGCATAAGGAGACAAATTAGATGAATGGATACATATACGAGTGTATTTACAGATTTACGATGAAGCAATATGGATAATATATAAATAGCTGTGAAATGACAGTGAAAAGAGGCTGACAACACTAATATACCGAAATTTAAATTTTCATGTATGATTTCTGAGAAAATGGAACAATAATTGGTTTTTAAACGAAGTAAAAGATGATGATTACCATACAGGAATGGGTAAGAAATAAAACTAGCTAGCTCTCATGATAACGGATTTCATAAAGAAAGTTGTTTTATGAGAAGGAATATACAGGTTTGGAAGTAGGAGGGATCTCGTGTTAAAAAAATGAACAATGAAATCGGATGTAAACTAATCAAGAAGGTAAGAAAAGGAATTGGTTCTAAAGGTATGGGTAGGAAAAATGGGTAGAGTCACTTCCACAAATTCGGTTCACTATATATATTTGCCCACCATGAAGTATATCTGAAAATATAAAATGTGTTTGAATGATGATTATTAAGGAAGAAAATCTGCCTAATTCTTTATAGATTAGGAGTATTTGCTATTTATTTATAATATTAGAGTTTATATTAGTTTACGAATATTGAAGACATGCTCAATAAAATAATCAACAAATATTTTATTATTTTGTTTTTGCTTATTTGATCACTCTAAAACCAAGACACAAGTTCTTAACCTCTTTGTCTGTAAGTGAAAAATCAGAATTCCGTGCTTATCTTGTTTGGGTGGTAGTTTCGAAGTTCGATTACATTCTGGAAATTGATTGGAGGTATAGAAATAGAAATAGAAATAGAAAAATCATCTTTATCCTGGGACTAGGTCCCTTTAGAATAACAGTATTGTTCATATATATTAACTATAAATATGGTCAAAAGACTTATTACAATGAATAATAACAAAATACATGCAATACATTAAGTATTAATTAAGCTCTTAGGATAAATTAACGAGGACAGTTGGGTAATAGGGGTTCAGTACTACAATATTGAAACTAAAATAATTGCATAATAATCACTGAATGAAATTAGAAAGGAAAGTAAAATCTATTTTATAGGTAAAGCATTGTAGTGATGGAATATAAAAATTAAAAAAAATTATAATAACTGTTAAGTTAAGTTTTCCGTAAGGGAAAGAAATTGTAAAAAGTAAAACAAAAAAAAAATATAAAAACACAAATAATGATATACACATGTTCCCTAAGATATTTAAGTGATTATGCGTAAAGATTAGGAGAAGAGAAAATAAAATAAAGTATACATATACACATAGCGAGAATATATATATGATAAACAGTTTTATCATTTCGGCTGCTGTTTAAAAACGATGAAAAATTCAATTCAGCATTGTGTGGTTTTATTAAAAAAAAAAACATTATGTCACTACATCTTCACACTACATTACCGTAAAAATAAATTCACAGTGTTGCTTTGGAAATAGCCTATTAATTACGTCAATTTTTCTTAATTTATTATTTTTATAAATAAGAAAAACTTTCACAAAACTAAGATACAGTACTGAGTACTTTCAATTATTTCATAATAAACGATATTTTTAATTGGAGTAAATGAATATCTGATTAGTTTCTTTTTTATATTGTTTTGAAACCTCGTCCTCTCAGCGAAATGATTGATTTCATATTGGACATTATTATCCCTGACATTTGGTGAAAGTAATATGGTATCAAGGATAATGAGCGTATACATCCTTTACACCAGTTGATGTACTGCATAGGCATGTCCGAACCTCGCTCCAGACACAAAGACGTTGTCCTCGATGACCTACAGATCACGTAGCTGCCCACTCTTCTCAGGAAGGTCACCGACAATGGGTTCCTCACTGGGTGAAGGAGTCGAGCTGTCCTAGGGCACTGACCTTGTTCCTTGTGCGATCGAGAACTGTGCCGAAGGGTATATCGGTAGAGAATAGGTTGTGCCGCATTAATAACAAGATCGGTAAATAGCCATTCATGTTTAGGAAGAATAGAATCAAGGACCGGTGGCCCCTCTGGAGGTCTTGTGTTTTTTCTAATAGTTATTCCGCTAAGTAGCTGTGAAGATGAATCCTTGGATCGAACTCCCGTTGAAGGGTCACGCAACAAGGTCTTCGGATTGTTGTGAAGTATGGCGGCCATCTGACGTAGTTGCATGAACACTAATTATATATTGTATATATATATTATACAAAAATATAATATATAATTAATTCAATTATATTTTTATAGGCAGTTAATATGTTATTTACAATATTTGATTTAGATTTATAATATATATACAATAATAAACAGATAACAGCTGTTAAAACTTTAAACTAAAAAGCTTTAATGAAAATTGGGTAACTTTGCTCGCGTGCGTACATTGTTCACGTGCCCTCCGGTTATAACTAAATGAGCAATACTGTCCCCGCGAAGACAGTTCAACATCATAGAATCCACAAAAATATGAATCCATCAAAATTAGGGAAACCAAAAGGCCCAGTCAACACACATCTTAAGGCTATGTTCAGGAACGCTGGTGGCCTAACTGCTGACAAATTCACAGAATGGAAGACGATTATTACAAAGGAGGATGCTGATTTATATGGGATCGTAGAAGCCGGCTCATCCACTGAAAATATCCAGTTCTACCAATTACCGGGATATCAAACTTATAAACTGCAGAGATCCAGGCAGGTTGCATCAGGAATAATTGTCGCTGCTAAATCATCCCTCAAGGTAACCTTTTCAATTAAACAGAAGATGGAAGAGAATGATAAATTGGAGGCTGTACAGTTAGATGTATGGAAAAGGATTCATGGCGGAGTTGTATTGGGCTGCCAGGAGCCGAATGGCCTAATAGCCAACGGCAGAGGCGTTTAATAAAAAAAAAACAATAATCAACAAGTTATTTGAAAATAAAAATAAATTATAAATTTTATTTAAGTGTAGATTTAATTTTTTATTTCAACTATTTCAAAATGAAAATTTATGAATGTATTTATTGAGATTCCCGTTTATGTATTTATTGGGATTCCCCAAATTACAGTTAAATGAGTACTTCGGATAATATTACGTGAAGAAACTGATTGGTAACACATCAATGACAGTTGAAAAGATCCCGGGTCCATCTTTTTTCAGATGCTTTGGAGGTAATAGGTTATTATTGGAACGCTGAGAATTTTATAAAGAATTACGAATGAATAGTAAGAAATTTACGAAGAATTTAGTAATAGAAGTATCATGAAAGGATACCGTATTAAAGATTTTAGATATAAGAAAAAGATATTATAACTAAGCCTATAAGCCTACTAAGGATATGGGTACTAAATTAAAAATAAATCAATTCCACAATAACGCATGTGCGGAATGGGCCTTTGGATTTGTCCGATGTGCAACCTTCCGGAGTACGAAGGTGACAGTATGGTCAGTGTAGTACTTCAACCGTTTTGGGTAAACTTTGATAAATGTCGGGCTTTTTTTTATTTTAACGTTGATCGAATCCTTGAAGCGTCTGTGGTCTGTGTAATCACTTTGCAAACTATCAAAATATTGTTTTATTAGTAATAAAACAATAGAATATAGTACCAATTTGTTTACCGAAAAACCGTTACATACCATCTATCGCTCAGATAGACACATTTAATACAATAATTTGTCTGTATTTATAAACTTAAAAACAGACCCAGCCGTTTGCACAAAAACTGAACACCTAGGAACGGTTTATCTAAAAACATTTCCGTTCACTTGGCTTCGCTGGAGTTGGCGGATAATATGAAAACGCGTTATTTTATATTTATTAATTCTCTAACATTATAACTTAATATGAAAACTGAAAAGAATATTAAATTAAATCATAATGAATAGTAATAAAATATCATTAGCTGAGGTTATAAATTATTTCTATAAGCCAAGAAGAAAACCTTGATTGGTTTTACTAAGTAAAAATATAAGGGTCCCCTAATGCAAGGGAAAGTTTGAACAAAAATTTAATCGATAGTTGAAATAACTCTAAACAGACTAAGGTGAACGCACCAGTTATGGACAGGAAGACCAGTGATGAACAGGCTGGACTGTAAATGTAAATAATAAGCTTTCTTGTTGATTGAAAGTTTCCAGTTTTTTCTAGAATGAAGAACAATGCCCTCTATTGACAACTAGATGAACAAAGTTCCCAAAAGAAAATTATAAAATGCCTATCATTGTTAATACTATAGTGCTCATGAGATCAGTGTGTTTCATACCTTCCTACTAACAGTGGGAAGGTGTGTAAGAGTTGAACATTTATGGTATCTTATATTTATCGTTATTTTTATAGTTAAATAAATATTTTAGAATTTTTCGAAGGTATTTCTATTACTGGTACCGACCCCCAGTCCATTACTAGAACAATTGAATTTCGGGGTGTCCATTACTAGTGCAAAAAAGTTTTTTTAAAAAAAGGAAATTATATCTGTATAACTGAATTTATTTTCAATTCTAAAGTGTTTAAGAGAAAAAAGAGACCCTAGATATTCTAAATGCACAACGATAATTATTACGGCGATATAAGCCAAAAATGACAAACATTTCCTTAGCTGTGGTGTCCACCAGGTGTCCATCACTGGTGTGCTTACCCTAAATTAGTTTAATTTTTAGAATAAATCGAATATAAGGAAGGATAAGTATAGTATAGTCTAAGTATAACAAATAATCAATATTACGAAAGTTCCTATTGCATGTTTTAAGGAGATATTATATGGTAGCCTTAGCAACAACAGCCGAAAACTAATAATCTATACCACGCCCAAATAAGTGGTTACTAAATACTCAAGGATGTTTGACCTAGCGCTTTCAGGGTCGGGAGTTCCCTTGTCAATCTCTTTACTTTCGAATGACCTTTGGCCGTTGACTATTTACATTTTCGTCACTGCTAGGAAGTGAGCGTTGGTGTTACCATTCCGGCATTACGACACACTTTTGTTTCTGATAGTTCTTGCTCAATCATAGACAAGAAACCATTTTTTTCGTGAACGAAGTAATGAATACATTTGCAAATTGGGTACATTTTCGCCAGTTCGAGTAAATTGTTTTCAGTCAGTGCAGACACTATTGTAGAGTCACGGACTCCAGTGGTATGAAACAATAATATTCATAGACGACGATATGGTACAGCATTGTTGCAGGCATGGGTGCTCGTCAACCTCGACAAGTCGACGGCCCATAAACTTTCCCCATATTTTATAGTTCTCTTTTGAAACAGTGCGGTCTAAAGTAGAATTAAATAATCATAGGTCATAATACAATCATACTTTCAGTAGTCTGTTCTATGTTTTCCTGTTGTCCCCTGGTTAGAAACTTTTCATTCCAAATATAACCCCGTTGAAATGTGCACGCCCTCAAACAGTCAAAATCACAGAAAAATATGGCCCCCCTCAAAGTCTCTTATGGCGCAATTTGCACTATGAAACTCCTTCTAATTGAGCAACCTGATTTGCTATAGTCTTCATATTTGGCATGATTTTTTTTTTGTACATAAGTTGTCCTTCTAAAAAGGATGACCCACGGAGTTTAAAAAAAAAAAATATACAAAACCTTGGTTCAGTAAATGAAATCTTAATCAGTTTTCGTCGTAACTCGACAAACGAAGCTGATTGAAACTATGTAACATTAGATTTGACCTTGGACGAAAAAAATACCAACTCAACATACTGAAGAAAGTTACAGAATAGAGCGAAATGTTGGAACACAGTATTACTTTATACAAAAAGTAATTTTTGACAGTATTTTAAATAATATTTTTCTGTATTTAATCATTGAGTTAATATATTTATTGTGACAACACCTCATATTATCACGGCTTAATGTATGTAATATGTAATATTTAATATTAATCATTAAAAAAAAAAATCGAATTTATGTTTAATCTGGTTGATGGCTAAAATTCTGTCTAGCTTAGTGTTTATTAATTCATTTAAATTTTCAATTAATAGAAACAATTTTTTTTTCTTCGTTCATATGAAGTTGTGTTCCGTATTATAAATTGAAATTTAAAAAAAAAATATTTTAATATCATTTGTACGGTATTTTAAATGCTATATTTGTTCTAATCAAAACTCCATTCGTGATTTATCGAATCGAAAGGGTTTGTTATAGCGGGCCCAGCGGAGGTCCTTAGGCCGTAAGCCCTTGGAGGAGATTGAGAGGGCTTCCACTGCTCGCCCTATTACCCAACCATTCGTGAAAATTCAATTCCGGCCCTTGAAGAGGCTAGCTCGATCAATGGATGTCTTATAAGCTGAAAGGTTCGGTCTTCGATTAAAGCTCCTTCCAGGATTTTGTTCGAAGGATAGAAACTATTTGATGGAAACGATAAGAGGCAATGGGAAAATAACATCTGTTACGATATTGAATTGGTTTAGTTTTTGTGATAAAAGTTGATGAAGGTGCTTATGAAAAATGATAAAACTGGCTAAAAAAGGCTAAAGTATACAAATTCCGAAAAGATGACTTTTTAAAAATTTATTTATTGAGCATTACAACAATCTGTCATTTGGATATTAGTTATAGTGAGGTAAGGTAACATTCATATTATAAGTAAAAAAAAAAAAAGTCTGCCAAGTAAGGTCAGTATAGCTTCCTCAGCGTTTTCATTGGCTAAAATATTAAAATATTACAACGTATACAATTTTTCTTATTAGAATAAAATCTCTGGTAGTTCCAAAGCCGATTCGGAAATACAGTTACCCTTCAACATTTGCGGGTTTGATATCCACGAATTCCGTTTATCAGCTAATATTAAAATGCGAAAGAGTGCCGTATTTGAAGATTTCATATTTGATTACCCTTAATTAAAAAAAAAAAATACAATGCATACTGAACAAGCATATCACTACTGTTAGTGCAAAAGTTCGTATGTAAAAATTGATTGTTTAGCAAGAGTGATTGCATTGATTCCATAAAACTCATTATTTCTTTATGCTTTATTAGTATAATTTCATATTTTATTGCTCTCTGCTATTTTCCACAGTAGCAGACTAATTATGTCAGTTGCAGACTACAATATGTCACCTTTAGCACAAATAGAATAAAAGTTGAAAATTTTTTACATACGACCTTTTTGCACTAATAGTAGTGACATATACTTAATAGGTATGTTTTCACTCGTAAAATGGAAGAGA